AAGTGGTAGAGCGCTCGCCTTGAGCTGAAGAGCTGAGGGACAGCACCCAGGCCCAGAGTTCAAGCCCCACGACCGACAAAAAAAAAAAAAAAAAATTTAAAGAAATAGGCAGAAATAGCCAAGAGTCATTACAATTTACTGCTCTAATCGTCATCATACTAGCCAAAAGCAGCTATAGACACACCCTAAGACGATGGGGCCGGCTCTGCTGTGTTCACGTAACGACCCTTCTATGAATTAATGACCCTTCTATGAGAGGGAAGTTCCATCTTCTGCCTCTCCTGAGAGACGTGTCAGGGAGACTAGAAAGAGAATGTGAAGAGAAACACACACAGAAGCAGAAGGAGGCAGCGAGGGTGGGAATCCAGAATGGCTGTTATTTGAGGCTGGGGGAGAATTCAAATCCTGGTTCTTCAGAATGGAGAATCATTGTGATGAAGCAGTAATGAGGAGAAATGACCATGGTCTAGAGCCCAGGGCGTGTGTGTGTGTGTGTGTGTGTGTGCGTGCGCGCATGTGCAACCTTTGCACAAGGCTATCAGCGAAAACACCGATGCCAAGAGGTGAGATGAAGTGACAGGCCCGGAGAATCAAGTTTACACAACAGATGCCCAGCGCCTGTCCCTCCAGCTACGAGAGTGAGAGGCTCGGCTCCCAGGCCGGCCTGGGCACAGGAGCCACTGGTGACAGTGGTGGCTGCTTGTCACCCAGCCACCACGGAAAGTATAAAATAACAAGCAGATCGCAGTCCATGTGCATGTTTGGGCAGGAACTGAGACCCCACCTCAAAAACAACAACAACAACAACAAAAAACTAGGAAGGCTGGGAAGGTGGCTCAAGAGGTAGAGTGCTAGCCTTGAGCAAAAGAACCTCACGGACAGTGCCTGGGCCCCGAGTTCAAGAGCCACGACCGGTGGGAAACACAAAACAAAAATCCAGGACATGTTAGTTCTGGGAGTGTGTAGCGTTAGAACACATGACCAGCCATGACAAGGACCTGAGTTTGGTCCCTAGAACCCTAACAACTGAAGTGAAGTGGATGCCAGCCAGGCACGGCGATGCATGCCTGCAGTGCCAGGCACCGCGATGCATGCCTGCAGCGTCAGACACCGTGATGCATGCCTGCAGCACCAGGCACCGTGATGCATGCCTGCAGTGCCAGGCACGGCGATGCATGCCTGCAGCGTCAGACACCGCGATGCATGCCTGCAGCGTCAGACACGGCGATGCATGCCTGCAGCGTCAGACACGGCGATGCATGCCTGCAGCGTCAGACACCGCGATGCATGCCTGCAGCGTCAGACACGGCGATGCATGCCTGCAGCGTCAGGCACGGCGATGCACGCCTGCAGTGTCAGGCACCGCGATGCATGCCTGCAGCGTCAGACACGGCGATGCATGCCTGCAGCGCCCGGCACGGCGATGCATGCCTGCAGCGTCAGACACCGCGATGCATGCCTGCAGCGTCAGACACCGCGATGCATGCCTGCAGCACCAGGCACCGTGATGCATGCCTGCAGCGTCAGACACCGTGATGCATGCCTGCAGCGTCAGACACTGCGATGCATGCCTGCAGTGTCAGGCACAGCGATGCATGCCTGCAGCACCAGGCACCGCGATGCACGCCTGCAGCGTCAGACACCGCGATGCACGCCTGCAGTGCCAGCACCTGGAGGCAGAGGCAAGAGAACGAGGAATCCAAGAGCGACCTGCACCGCATGTCCATCTGAGAATACCCAAGGCTACCTGGCCACACCCTGCCTCAAAAAGCAAAAATAAAAACACAAGTCAGCCGGGCGCTGGTGGCTCACACCTGCCATCCTAGCTACTTAGGAGGCTGAGATCTGAGGATCATGGTTCAAAGCCAGCCCTGGCAGGAAAGTCTGCTAGACTTTCATTAACTACTAGAAAACTGGAAGTGGCGCTGTGGCTCAAGTGGTAGAGTGCTCACCTTGAGCTGAAGCGCTGAGGGACAGCACCCAGGCCCAGAGTTCAAGCCCCACGACAAAAAACAAAACACAAGTCAAAGGCCATAGCCATGATCAAAGACCTTCAGAAATGAGAAGCGTTCTCTCTTCAGAAAGCAATCCTGTGCGGGCGGGCATGGGGAACCTTCTGGAAGATCTGCGTGACCCTGTGCTATTTCACAAGCGCACATTCCCCGGACTTTCCCAGTCTGAGAACTTACATATCATAAATAGTCTTCGTGAGCAAATACGTGATCCCAGCTGCTATCCTTCCAGCCAGCTTTGATTTTGTTTTTTTGGGGTTTTTTTGGTGGGGGGGTCCGGTCGTGGGGCCTGAACTCTGGGCCTAGGCGCTGTCCCTCAGCTCTTCAGCTCAAGGCTGGCGCTCTACCACTTGAGCCACAGCACCACTTCTGGCTTTTTATTTTGCTTATGTGGTGCTGAGGAATCAAACCCAGGGCCTCATGCATGCAAGGCAAGCGCTCTACCACTGAGCCACCTTCCCAGCCCTCCAGCCAGCTTTGAAAACGCAGCTCAGTGCCCTTTGCTGGGTCCCGGGGGCGCCTGGGAAGCACGGAGCCCCTGGGTTCGGATCGTCTCGCTCCTGCGTCTCGGCTCTCTGGGCCCATGGAAGCAGGGAGGGCTTTACACAGCCAGGACCCTCACCTCTTCCCCTTAGGTCCTAGCAGGTTCGCAGTGACGGCAGCAGGGCGGGGTGGGCCCTACCTGGGGCAGTTTGATGTCGTTGATGTCCCAGCTCAACACCTCCCTGTTGTCCTTCTCCACGTCCTCGCGTTCCATTGTGAGCCCAGACCCGGTCAGTATCTTTCCACTCATCCTGCAGGTTCTGCTCTCGAAAGTTCTCGATGTGGCTGGACCTGAGCACTCAAGCACAGACCCCAGAAGACAGCTTCCTGAGGCCAAAAAAGAAAAAGATAGGCAAGAAATTAAAAATCAGGCCTGTCTGCTAGAACCATGTTTGCACTGGCTTCTTTGCAGGACCCAGTATTCACCAAAAAGCCAGGTGCTGACGAAGCGGCTGCCAAGCTGGCTGCGATACCCCGGGGGGCCCTGCGCAGCGGGAGGGACAGGTGGCCCCGCCATCTTTGCTCTCTCTGGGGTTAGGGCTTCCTGGGTCATTGCTAGGTCCCGGTCTAGCAACGCAGGACTCAGGAAGAATCGTTGCTGTCCATCAGCAGCTTCTGTACAGGTGAGGAGCAGAACTGCTTGCACTGGCTTCCACGGAAACGTCTTTAAATAAACTAGCTAATATGTTGACGTTGGAGTTATTTAGAAGTGTGCTGGTGGACCTCAGGGGCTGTGGGGGATCCTCGTGGTCTCCTCTCCACATGCTGGACAACACGTATCTCGGAGTGGCATTGGCTACTATCTTAGGCTAGCAGATTGCTCTGAACTCTGACATCGGCTCCTCGGCCTGGGTACTGTTGATGGCTCTGTGTGGTGGGGTGACCTTGCAGAACATGGGGCTGAGCCCTGGGCTCCACCCACTGGGTACAGGGGGAGGGGGGAGGCTCCACCCACTGGGTACCCAGGCTCCACTGAACAAGGCCGTAGAGCTACTGAGCTACTGAAGAGTAAACTCAGCTACAAGCTATGCTAGCCGTCTGGAGCTTAGCAAGTCCAGCAAACTCTGTTGGGTGGTTATTTATCTTTATTTAATAGGAACATCTGTCCATCACTGAGGTCCACTATTGCAAAGCATGTGTGTGTGTGTGTGTGTGTGTATAAAACTGTGTTGGACATGTAAATTAGTTTGGGCCATTAAATAATGAGTGAAGAAAGGGCTCTTCATCCTCTACCCAACCTTCTCACGCCTAGTGGTTCTAAGATTCCAAAAGAGTGAAGTCTAGCTCTCCAGCTTGAACACGGACACTCTGTATGAAATGCCCAAATGAGGGGGGGGGGACCTACAGCCTCTGTGTGTATTTGCAGCAGTAGAAATCAAATCCAGCATCTCAAACATGACAAGCAAGTGCCCTATCACCGAGTTACATCCCAGCCCACTCTTACGAATTTGAAGTAACAATGGTCTAGGTGGTAAATGCACACCGTGCTAACTGAAGCAGTGTCTGACCTTAGTTCAGAAGACATGCATGTCAAGTAGCAGGTGTAGGAACTTTCCTCTTTGAAGCAGAAAGTGGTCCCAACAGCGAGAGATTTTAATAGAACAACAACATGGAATAGACGATTTCTAGGGCTAAAAGTGGTCAAATTTGTATTTTCCAAAGCCCAAAACATTCTTTCAGGCCAAGCTGTATAGAACATAATTAATTCTCTTGTTTGCTTTCAAAGCAAGGGAAGATAAAGTTAAAAAAAAACTTACTTGAAAAAAAAAGTTAAAAAAAAGTTTTCTGGAATAAACTTTTGCCAAATGAGTGAGTATTCGTTTAATATTTCCCCCGAGATTAAAAACAAACTAGAGGAGAGAAGACACTGCTTCTAGCTCTAAAGTGAGCTCAGTCTCCACTAAGATAAATGCTGTCACAATCTCCTTTGAAAAGCATTTGGACCCCACACTCATCATTTCTATGGAAGAGGAGGAGGCCGTGGGAGGGGGGCTTCTTACCTCCCAACGTCTTCTTGGGGCCACGGATGCCCCTGGGTCACAACCATCTCATCTCCGCTCCTGGTCCGGGCAGGCTCTGGTCATTTTCTGGATTGACCGCTGTTCCCTATTCATTCCAGGTCAGGGTACATTATGCTAATGAGCTCTGGCAAAGGTCCAATCAAAATCTAGATGCTCTGGGCTGGGGACAGGTAGGGGCAGCCAGCAGGATGGAGGGTGTTTTGTGACCTTTCCTCTCCTTTGTGGTAGGAGAAGGTTTTCCACTCAAGCAGATGCTGACAGGAGCCTCAGGAGGAAGTACAGATGCTTCCCTCCTCGTACTTTCCTTCTTGCTGACAGATCGGGAGGACTGACTCGCTGTGGATGGCAAAGCCCTGCCACAGATCCCACCTGTCCACAGGAAGACAGAGGCTTTCACATACCGAGAAACACACGGGGGAGCCTCCCCTCCAGAGGCACAGCAAACACCTAACCAGGAGGCCCGACCCAGGCTGGGTGTTCTGATCACACCCCGGCCCGTGCAGACAGCGTCCCTGCCCTCCTTCCTATCTGTGACCGCACCGCACAGCACGTGTGAGTTCAGGGTGTGAATGGGCAGCGCATCCTCTGGGTGCCACGAAGGAGACTTCGGAAGTTGTTCCGACTGGGTACCCGTGGCTCCCGCCTGTGATCCTGGCCCCTCAGGAGCCCGAGACCCAGAGGATCGAGCCCCAGGCAGAGAATTCCCCAAGACTCCATCACCAAAGCAATCCGCAGAAAAAGCCAAGCTGCCAGGAGGCCAAGTAAGAGAGGCCAGGCAGGTGACAGGCCCGAGGTCCCGGGGCAGTTCTAGCAAAATGAAGCCGCTAGGATCATTGCTGATGTCACTGCAGGCCAGGGTGGCCTGTCGGGGGCCACTGGCAGGGATCAGCCACCGCAGGAAGGCTCCGGCCACCGCAGAGGAGGCCTGGAGGACACAAGGTCACGCAGGAGCCGGACCACCGCTGAACCGCCGGCTCGTCTCTGCGGGGCGCGGCCGCCAGACTCCAGCCACGCTGAGATTTCCGCTGCTTTTCCAGTTCGAGAACGCGAGGCCCTCTGCGTTTTCTTGGCCGGACCCACCTGGGTTTCCTGTCTTCACTAACACCCTCCGCAGCAGGGATTTTTGTTTGCCTTCCTCCAGGGTGCTCCCTTTCCGAGCCCCCACCCCACGGGTCCACCTGCACCCCGGCCGGGCTCCGGGAGGGGCGGGGAGGCCCGGCGCTCTGGCGGGCATGGCAGGCAGGCCAACAGTTGTGTTTCTTAGGCAAGTTTGCACGTTGGGAATGCGCACCCCCTGACTTCCAGAACCCCGACAGGCCCCGCCTGTCACCTCCCCAGTGGGCCGTGGCGTGAGCTGACCCAGGTGGACACGCGTGAAACCCCTCTGGAGACATGCGTGGAGCAGAGCTGAGCTGGGTCAGCGCAGGGCAGGGAAGCCCGGCGCCACCCGCCCAGCTCTGCAGCCTGGAACCCCGGGCGCATACTTACAATCAGGGATAGGCGGCGTCCTGGTGGCTCACACCTGTAATCCCAGCTAGGAGCCCGAGACCGGAGGATCACGGTTCAATGCTTCTCTCCAATTAACCAGCAAAAAGCCAGAAGTGGGGCTATGCCTCAAGAGGCAGAGATGGAAGGGACAGACCCAGGCCCCGAGTTCAAGTCCCGGTACCAGCAACAAACAAACAGCCAAATGCCTTAAACACGGTGACAGTTGTTGTGTGACTGAATTTCTTGGCACACGTGCTTCTAAGACAAGCGGGCACTCTACCACCTGAGCCACGCCTCAACCCACACAGCTCACTTCATCAGCTGACACTTTCTTTTTTTTTGGGGGGGGGAGGTCTGGTCATGGGCCTGAACTCTGGGCCTGGGCGCTGTCCCTCAGCTCTTCAGCTCAAGGCTAGCGCTCTACCACTTGAGCTACTTTCGGCTTTTTTCTTTTTTGCTTATGTGGTGCTGAGGAATCGAACCCAGGGCCTCATGCATGCAAGGCAAGCACTCTACCACTTCCCAGCCCCTGACACTTTCTTTATAAGGAGCAAATGATGTGAAGGCATCTACTATTTGACAGTGCTTTATACATGTCATTTCAAACATTCTGGCTTCAGCGTCCATTTGTTTTCTAAAACATCATAAGGGCCGGGCGCTGGTGGCTCATGCCTGTAATCCTAGCTACTCAGGAGGCTGAGATCTGAGGATCGAGGTTCAAAGCCAGCCCGGGCAGGAAAGACCATGAGACTCCTATCTCCAATAAACTACCAGAAAACCGGAAGTGGCGCTGTAGCTCAAGTGGTAGAGCGCTCTCCTTGAGCTGAAGAGCTGAGGGACAGCACCCAGGCCCAGAGTTCAAGCCCCACGACCGACCAAAAAAATAAAATAAAACATCATGAGGGTAGCAAAGAGCTTCTACTTGTGTGTTATTACGACCGATATTCCCCACATTGGAAATGATGGAGGAAAGCTGTTTATGTATGCATCTGAACCAACAGTTAACAGCCCAGTACATTTTTAACACAAATAACATGCTTGTGGAAAAACTAACTGCATCTTCAAAACATAGGTCATGGAACAAGAAAAATAATATTGCTTGACATGTTTTCAGCCGACGCCCTCACCTATTGCTTGACATGTTTTCAGCCGACGCCCTCACCTATTGCTTGACATGTTTTCAGCCAACGCCCTCACCTATCAGGAGACCGGGGTTTCCTCATATCGCCTCCTGTTCATCCTCTTACAAGTGTCTCAAGTCCCAGGCTCTGTGGGACCTTACTGTGCACGTAGGAGAGGCAACTGCAAAGCTCCTCAGAGGAAGTCCAATACGGTGGCACATGCCTGTAATCCCAGCCTACACTCCTAGTACTCAAGAGGTTGAGCAGGAAGACGCAGAGCTCACTGTGGCCGGCCTGAGCTCTCGTAAGGTCCTGTCTAACAACAACTAGGGCCTCAGGACTTCCAGAACCCCCAGGCTGGGTCTCTTCATGCCATACAGAGCACATGTACAGACAAATCTCATTTAACGCTCGTAAAAACATGAGTGAAACCAAGGAGAAGGCGGAGGCCCGGAGAGGTCAAGCGAGGCCTCAGATCACACGCTCAGATCCTTGTCTCTCGACCCAGCCCGGCCGCGCTCCTGATGGGCTCCTGACAATCAGAGGTTCTGATTCACTTCTAGCCGCACAAACAACTGCCCGGAACGCGCCAAGAATTTCTGCACAAGAATTCCGCAGTGACGTGGTAGCACAGCAGAGGCGCGGGCTGGGGAGGAGCGGGCAGGTGAAGCCACCCTCCGCTGGATGCTGACACAATAAGTTCTTTTCTCTCTTTCTGCCCCAGTGTCCAGGTCTGCACTGCAAGGTTACCTACCTGGACCACGTGATCACCCCAAATCTCTGCTAGCTCAGAGACACAACCCAGCCAGCTCGGATGCGCCTCTCACCTTTCTTCTGATTTTTGAGGATCAAACTCCCCCTGTGTTCATGAACCGAGTGCTCAACTGAGCCACCTCCGAGCCATACCTGGCCCTGGATCCTCCTTTTGAAAGAAGAGTCCCAAAAACTCTGCTTTTTCTTGCTTTTTTTTTTTTGGTGCTGGTCCTGGGGCTTGAACTCAGGACCTTGGGCATTGTTTGTTCCTAAGCTTTTTTTGTGCCCAAGCCACTGGACCACTCAAGTCACAGCTCCCCTGTTTACTGGGGATTAGAGTCTCGCAGACTTTTCTGCTCAGGCTGGCTTTGAACTGTGATCCTCAGCTCTCAGCCTCCGGAGTAGCTGGAATTACAGGCGTGAGCCACCCCATACCCAGCTTCTGAAGATTACTGGAGTGACGTGCCTCCTATAGGCAAAGAAAAAAGCAAAATGGAGCTAGCCACAGGACCCTGGGAGCAGAAGCAGGTGCAGATCTATTTCAAGCTTGAGCAAACAATCCCGATGTGGGGTGTTTTTTTTATTGTTGCTGTTGTTTTGGCCAGATTTTTGTCCTTGTTCTCCTCCAAAGAAACTCAAGTTCCACACGGGCAGGGACACAGGGACGAGTGCCCTTAGTTTTGCATTCCACACGGGACCTAGCAAATTCTGGCAAATTCCATGAACTTCTCCATAAACATACCCACACCAAGTACCATTGAGAAATAGTTACATCTAACTTATAACCCCCTCAACAAGCGAGAAAGAAAAATATTTGTGCAATTTTACAAAGAAGCTGAAGGTGGCAGTCATTAGCTTGCTGTTGGTGCCGGGTTTGAACTCCCGGCCTGGGCTCTCAGACTGCTGGGGCCATGCCGCCTGCCGCAGCCCTTGGTGTCTCTTTTTCCTCTAGTTATTTTTCAGATAAGGCCTCAGATTCTTGCCTGGGTTGGCCTCCACTGCCCTCTTAGCTAAGGCCTCTTGCTGAGACTACAGGTGTACACCACTATGCTCAGCTCATTGAAATGGAGTCTTGCTAACCTTTTGCTTGGGTGACCTGGAATGTGATCATCTTGACCTCTACCCCCCCCCCCCCACATGCAGCTGGGATTACAAGCATGCATCACCACGCGCAGTCCTATGTGTTGAACATGTTTCTGCAGTACCCTCATTTGAACTCAGGGCCCCTGGGCTTACAATTAAGGTGTTCTCACCACAGAGCCATGCTTCTGGTCCTGTCTTCTGCTGGTTGTAGGCTCTCACCCCTGGCCCGTGATGCATCTGTTTTGGGTAGGATCATAACCACATGCTACCGCACCCAGACCTTGGCTGAAAGAAGACTCTCACAGACTTTTCTGCCCAAGCCAGCCTCAGATCACCATCCTCCCAAGCTCAGCTTCCCAAGTAGCTGGGATGGGAGGCCTGCTCTTCCTCCCTGCTCCCACCCCTTCTCCACCATGAGAAGGGCCTCGCTCCTCTGCCTGCCACCGGCCCACGCGCCAGAGAACCAACCCAGCCTGGACTGGCCTCCCCACGAAACAAAGCATGCCTCCTTTTTTTGTTGTTTGGTCTTGGGCTTGAACCCAGGACACTGGTACTGTTCCTGAGCTTTTTTGCTCAAGGCTCGCATA